GGGAGTCACACAGACTCCTGCATATGTCAAATCAGGGAGTCCGAAAATAAATTAGGGAGTATTTGACTCCGGACTCCCGTTAGTTTTGCACCCTGGAATGTTATGTCACGTGCAACAATATCTACGTTGAATAATGGGTTTACGCTAACACATGTGTCATAGGTTTTTTTATACCAAAAATACTAACCTACAGTGTGATCGAACACATTGCATTACATTGATATAATAATAACCAAATAATGAACTTATTATACATACTAATGTATTGGCGTGTCACAAATATACCGCAATATAATTTCAGTTTCTCCACCTTGTCATTTCAGTTGAAGTCTTGACTGGTACACCTTCATCATGACACACAACGAGCTCAGGTCCCACTGGTTGAAGGAAGGTGCTATAGGACTCGGAGGTTTGTTAGTACCATGTCATCCCAGTGAAAAAAACTGTAATGTGTTTGCCTCAGTCCCCCCTGCCCTCATCTATAGTCCTTTCACCTAATTCCTATAGACTGACCAGGCTGCGAGATTAACGTCAGTAACTATGGTCTTTCAATGTATGACTGTTTCTTGGAGCTATATACTCAATTCCCTACCTACACCGAACAGAAGGAAACTAAATTACGTAGCAAGCCAACCCAATCTCTGTCATGGCGAAAAAAAACGTACAATATTTGGCACGTGAGTGGATGATCCTAACTTATCCTTATGATCCTGACTAGTGGCCGTAGCTAGGTCGTATCCTTGTATTGATGGCATACAGCAGCTGGTGAAGGGAGAAGCTGCATGGAAGCTGTTTTGAAAGCAGCCCTGCTAGCTTCCATGATTAAAAGTATCAGGAGCTTCACAAAAGCTGATATTTTTATAAAACCTTGTCCCATCCCTACCCTAAAGGTCTCTCTCTTATGCTCCCTGTCTCTGCCTTCATCTCTCCCTCCCGCTATCCCTCCATCCCACACCCCTTCCCACTCCCTTCCTAACTGCATCCCTCTCTCTCCCATTCCCTCCCTGCCTCCCTTCCTCCATCTCCCTCCCTCTCTCCCTCCCCCTCTCTCTTAATCCTCCTCTCTCTTAATCCTCCCCTCCTTCCCTCCCTCCTTCTCCCTCTCTTTCTACATCTCTCTCACCCTCTATATCTCTCTCACGCTCTCTCTCTCTCTCGCTCGAACAGTCGGTGTCCTGTACGGAGTCACGAATGTCGCCGTCGGTCATCCATTCGACACGGTCAAGACGAAGATGCAGGCGCAGCGGGGCTTCGAGTCCGGCAACATGCTGCAGACATTCGGCAAGACGCTGCGCCACCAGGGCATCATCGGACTCTACAGGTGCGGCCGTAGACGTCAGTGCGAACAGCATTAGAAATGCCAGCCCCCTCCCCCCAGTCTGCGACCGGTAATGTTTGAGCAGGACCGACTGATTTTTGTTGATTTTACTATATAGGTTTAATTAGTAGAAATGAAAAATTTTCGAAATCATGACAGGCTTGATTTTCAGACTTATTTTTAAGATTTAAAATTTGCGAGATAGCACATAGATCTGGTACAGCATGTGTTGCTGTTATTTATGGTAATGTTATTGGTAATTTCAAGAGCTAATAATACCTGCTTATAATTAGCTCTTGGTAATTTGTGTATGGGCATCACGTCAGGGCAGGAATCATTTAGTTTCATTCGCTCCTGATCTCATCGATTCATGGTATTGCAAGATATCTATGTGACTAGGATGTGTTCTTGCATATCATTCTATTTGTTAAGTGTTTGATGAAGTCGATAGGAAAACTATTTGATTTTAAGTATATATGATATCATTAAATGATTAATAAAGTAATATCATGATCGACTTGGTGAGTTCGTGGTCGAAGGCAGGATGAGAGACAGAGTAATGTGTAAAATCCGTCGTGTTCTCATCCATTCACTTTCTAGAGGCTGCATACCGCCGCTGTGGGGTTCTGGAATATATCGATCGGCCCAGTTTGCTGTGTTCGAAGCGTGGTAAGTCTAGACGGTCGACTTTTTTTTGCAAGCTACCTCCGTGTTATAGGGGTAGTTTAGTTGGCTATTTTGGCCAGACGTCAGGGATTGTTTGTGATGCGTATGTGTGTCTGCACATGCATGTGTGTGTGTGTATACGTTCATGCGTGTAGCCATGTCTGCCTGTGTGTGTTTCTTGTGTCAAATATGAATCACTCCATGCGCCATTATCAGGGGTAGATAATGACAAGATTTGTCATTATCTACCCCTGACATTATATATGCAACTGTAGAGTTAACTGTATGATAAGGAACTGTCCTGTCATATTAATTGCAGTGACTCATTGCGAGCTATCTATAATTTAATTGATTGCACATGGTTAACTCAGGCTGCATTACTTGCTGTGAGAACTTGTGTTGGGAGTGGATTTTGGGGTGGTGCTCCATTAGGAGCGTTCCCAACTTTAATGTCATTAATGTCCTGATATAAAAGAGATATAGGGGGGGGGTGGAGCGAGATCAAGGGGGGGTTTGATATGAAATAGACATC